GTTCTGTTTCCTTATAAACAGGCATCATCTGGTCAAGGGTAAAAATACTGAAGAGCAAGGAGCAGAGAAGAGGTGTGACCCACACCTCTCTGGGCACAACCAGTATGAAATACCTTTTTTTGGAGGGGGGAGCTATTTTTCCTTAATGGTGTTGTTGCATGGTGAACCCAGTGAAAACTTTTCTCTGGGACCGTGTTGGGGCCGGCACCTTCCATGCAGGCGACTGATTTTATCTGCGTTTATCCTGGTGTTTCTTTACTTGATTTTAACCCTCTTTCCTCACTTGCAGGACTGATTGTACCAGTCTGCTGGGAGCAGCACGGTTACTGTTCATCTCTTCCTCATTTTGTGCCATGCTGAAGATGACAGATGGGTGAGATGTTCTAGTCTCCACCTTTCTGTGGTGTTACAGTTGTCCTCTGCCTTCTCACGGGCAGGATTGAAGGAGCAAAGTCCTGGACACCTCACGGCAGGTCAAAATACAGCTATCTGATGCATCAGTCCTGCCTCTTTTCCCTCAAGACAGTCATATTTGGGCATGTCAAGGCACAGTTGGAGCGTAATTAACTTACTGGCCTCCAAGCACCCCATCCGTTGTAATCCTTGTGATTACAGCCCCCGTCCTAATGACAATCCTGGATGCTGGGATTAAGTTCTCCTCCCATCTCATTCCTGTTTTCTGTTGCAGCCCCTTGTTAATGTACGACTTCATGTCCACTTTAGAAACTATACAAATTCCACAGAAAAATGTGAGCTGTGCTAAAAATGGGGGGACAGGGGATTTTTTTTTCCCCCCTCTTTTCTCCCCACAGATGCATTTATCACCAGGGCAACTTAACTTTAGAGTTCACTAAACATTCAAGCTGTTGGCTTAGATCCAGGAAGGGAGAAGTTTTATAGACTGAGCTAAGCGTGAATTACAGTTATGGTTACGGCATTTTTTTTTTCTTTTTTTCTTTCTTTCTTTCTTTTTCTTTTTTTTTTTTAAAGAACAGCTTGACTGTTACTCTGGCACTGAAGCAGTTACAACCGCTAAGTATTTCATAATGCAGCTTTCTTCTGCTGCTTGGCAGGTCTGGGAGGAACCTTGAGGGATTTAAAAGGTGGTGCCTCTGGAAAGGGCATTGGAGGTGGTGGGGCTAACCACTGGCTTTAGCATCAGGTATAAATAATTGTCCTTTTCAGTCACAGAACAGAGCGCCCAGCCTGGCTGCAAGACTCTCAAGATGTCCTTGGTAATCCACAAATGAAAGAGAAGGAGGTGCACGTCTCTTCTTAATCTTGCACTGTGCAGTCTGGCACTAATTGCAACCACTGGCTTAATTCCAGGAAGTAAAAGCAGTGGGTTAATAGGAGCTCACCCCTGCCACCCCCTCTTCTCCTCCACCATGTTCAGGTGCGACAGTCCTCCTAGGTCCACAGAGGGAGCTTTCACAAACTGGAAACTCCTGCTGGCAGTAATCCCAGTGACAAAAGGCAGAAAGAAGGGTCAAGCCTTTGTACGTCCACACGCCGCGCTATCGGTTCTGCCAGTGCGTGCTGCTCCCCGGGGCTGCCGCCCTGCCGAAGGGAAGTCACCACGCTGGGCTGGTGGCAAGGGACACGGGAAGGTGGGCTGTGCAGAGAGGAGCAGGTTGGAGGGCACGTGCCCGGGTCCTGCGGGGCAGGGACTCTCTAGGAGAGCCCCAAGAGATGGGCTGGGTCCCTTCTCATCCGGGTGGTGCTTGACGGGGATCCAGCACCCTGTTTCCAGGAGCACGATGAGGCCAGGATGGTGAATTCCCCGTTTGACTCGCAGAATAAGGAGCACGGGTGGTAGTGGATGGCAAGTGGGAGGATGTGGGAGGCAGTGGGAAGTGCTAGTGGATGTGGAAGGGTGGTTGAGCTTGCTGCCCAAGGATGAGGGCTCCTCTCGAGAATCAGGAGGAGTTTTCCCGGCTTTTTTTTTTGTTGTGTTTTTTTTTTTTTTTTTTTTTTTTTTCTTCTTGTTTCTTTTTCATTGCTTCAGAGTTAGGAGCTGGAGAAAAGGTCCTGCCGAATGAGCGAGTTGGTGTGTGCTGGCTGTGTTGGATTACTGGCTATTTTTAGACACTGGAAGCTCTCCTTGAGAGAGTCACAGGCCTCGGTTGCTGGGTGGATCGGTTTTCAAGTGGGGTGGGATCAATGCAGCAGTCCGAAAGGCCACCCACAGATAACCAAGTGCTGGTCATGGAGGGAAGAGGAGCCAAGTGAGCTCACCTGCCCTGGCTGATTGTTCCTTCTGGTGGTGGGCCCAGACAGGGCAGGTTTCTAGAAGTAACGTATGCCAAGACAGTGAGCCACTGATTCCACTGGCTGTCCTGTGCCAGTGGATGATCTGCTCGGTGTATCTCAAACAAGCAGCTACTCCCTTTTGCAGTCTTTAGAAGCAGTCCGTGGACTTCAGCACTGTTCCAGTTACAGAGAGCACTGGCTGATTATTATAAGGATTATGGGATAATTCAGCCATCCCAGTCACTCTTCTTCCACCACCCTTGTACAAGAACTTGTTAGGTCAACATGAGATAGGTTGGTTTTCATGTAAGGGAAAAAACCCCCACAAAACAAAACAAACAAAAAAAAACCCCAACCAACCAACCAACCAAGATTAAAAAAGCCTGGTTCAGGAGATAAACTTTTGCTAGAAAGTATATGGTATGGCATATAAGTATATGGTATGTAAAAACTTTCTGTCTTTCATTGCAGCGTAAGTACATAAATACATATAAGTACATGGATGAGGCAGAAGAGAGTGGTTAAACAGAGGCATTTTCTGCAAGAAGAACTGAATGAACCTCAAATCACAAATGATCCAGACATTGGCATTCCAGCTTCATCTGTTTACCAGCCATTTTGTTCCTTTCTGGGGCTCTGCTTTGTCCATGGAGACAACTACCATATTGCAAGTAAATACTACTGCGTCCTCTGCTCCCCTTTCTCATGTGTCTACACTTACCCACAGGAGAAGAGTCAGCTCCAAATGACACAGCAAGTAAACAAATCTATTTTAAAGAAAAATTGTGCTGAGGAGGAGCGGCCTGTTCCTAAGAACCTTGAAAACTGGCATTGCATTCTTGCTGTGAAGGCACAGAAGTACAAAGTTTTCTGTCCCTCGCAGTAACTATCCCTTGTGCACACAGGCATTATGGCTTTTGGTCAGGGGCCACGTGTATGAAAGCCCCTGGACTAACATGCCTTTTTCCTCTGGATGAGACCTCATTGCTGGCCAGCAGTCCAACAGAACGCTTTGCAGCTGGGGGAGCTCATTAAATCTCCTCCCATTAAATCTGTAAGGGCTGCAGACGACGCAACAGCTAGAAAACTGCTCTGGTCTGACTTGTGCTATCATCAGGCACAGCAACAGGGAACTGAGATGTATATGCCTGCTTCCCTGCCTGTGAGCAGGCACAGAGGGGGTCACAGAGAGGCTCTGTAGCTGGATGCAGTTCTAGATTGAGGTTAGAAGCCACGGAAGGAATGAGGAGGAGCCCGCTGGAGGGTGGGGGGTGTGCTCCATCAGGACGCTTGCAAACTCAGCAAAGGCATCTCCCGAAAAGCGGCCAGCCCTGGGGCAAGCCCACCTCAGAAAGCTCTGCCCGAGCCCATCCCAAGCCTAGAAAGCATTTTACAAACGTGGGGGGGAATGCGGGCTGACCAAGCTGAGGGCTGGAGCTCCACCTAGCCCCGTTGCCTGGTTTCCAGATCTGGTCCCTTTGACTCAAGGAGGGCCAAACAGACATTGAGTCAGGTTTCCAGATCGGCAGCCAGTTCATTCCAGGGGATAGTTCTTGGCCCCGCGTCTGCCTCATCTAGTGGCATGAGGACTGCAGGCTGGGGAAGGTGATAGTGCCAGCCAGCGCCAATGGATTTGAAAAATCCCATCGATTCCTTTCCCCTTTTGACCTCCCACCAGGCAAGGCAAATGGGTTCAATGTGCAGCTCTCTCCTCTGGATCGCCCAAGCCCAAATTATGATACGTACAAGAAAACCTGTTTGCAGCCGCAGTCTGGCGCCCGTGGACTGATACCCTGCCACGGAGCAGCAGGAGTGGAGCCGCAGGACAGCCAGGCGGATTGCCACCTTTCCCCGCCGGCACCGGGGACTGGATAAGCGCGGGCTCCAGAAGCTGAGGGTGCGTTTTGAATGCTGGGCAGCGCGGCTTCGCGCCAGGGAGCCAACGCCACGGTGCCGCTCCAGCAGCCTGCCTGCCAGCAATGCCTTGGGGAGGGGGCCGGGTTCGGCGAGAGCTTCTTTCCTTCCAGACCTTTGGCACGCGGGCCGCGTCTTTCCTCACACCTCTTCCTCCTGCCCATGCGGGCACCTAACGCACCCGCTCCTCCTGGGCGAGGGCTGCAGGGCTGGGCGCTGTATTTGAGGCTGCTTGGTGGGTTTTTGAGCAAAGCGACGGCTTTTTTGTGCTCCTGGCTGTTTCTGGGCGGCATTTCCAGGGCCACCTTGCCTTTCCGCTTGCTCTTTGCCTGCTGCGGCTCCGTCCACCCTCACATACGGGCTGTTTTCTCCCTCAAGCTGACGGAAGACCCCCGCTGCAGGGGAAAACAGGGGGATACGAGCATAGACAGCCTCTTACGCCGCTTTTAGCTGCGGGGAGCCTTGCCTAGCCTGAGAAAAAGCAACAAAACCGACCGCTCTACCAGCGGTCCAACGCTTGCTGCAGGGAGGGGAGGCGGCACTCGTGAATTATCAGACCAGTTGCTGGAAGAAGGAGCCCTCAGGCCGCCTTAGCAGCGGTCGGGCCTCTCTAGCGGGGGAACCGCTCCAGCAGCTGAGGCGAACCGCCTCCTTCCCGCCGGGGGATTAAAAAAAAAAAAACAAAAAAAAAACCCAAAAAACAAAAAAAAAAAAAAAAAAACCAAAACAAAAAACAAACCACCTTAACGCGGAGGCAGGAAGCCGCCGGGCCGGCAGGCACCAATCAGGCCGGGCCCGGGGAGGGAGGGAAGGAGGGCGGCGGCCGGGGAGGGGGGGAAACGCTGCCCGCGGGGAGCCAGGCCGAGCACGGCCCGGCCGTGCTGAGGGGGGAAAATGGCGGAGGGCGGCCCGCCCGCCGCCTCGGGCGGGCAGGCAGGTAACGTGGCGGGGAGAGCGGTTTGGGGGGGCGGGAGGGTGGGGGGGAACGGGCCGTCCCTCTGGGCAGGGCTCAGCCCGGTGTATGTGGTGTGTCCCCCCCCCCCCCCCGGCTGTCTCCTCCAGCGCAGGTCGGAACCTGAAGGAGTGGCTGCGGGAGCAGTTTTGCGACCACCCCATCGAGCACTGCGAGGACACCCGGCTGCACGACGCGGCCTACGTGGGGGACCTGCCCACCCTCAAGAGCTTGCTGCAAGAGGAGAGCTTCCAAAGGTGAGGGGAGGGGGGCTTCTCCCACCCCCGCACCCCTCCGCGCTGCCTGTGGAGACCCTCACGGCGGGGGGGGGGGGGGGGGAAACCCAGCTGCGAGGTCCCGCTGCAGCAGTTTTGGCCAAGGTCTCCCAAGCTGCTCCCTTTTTGGCGGGGGGACCCCGGCCTCGCTCCGTTTTTACGGTTGTTAGGATGCTCCCGCTCACCCCCCCCCCCCCCCCCAAAATCATCCCTCTTCACCCCCGTAGTCTCCCAAGAGGCAAATTTCGAGCCAGTTCACGAGCGCGGCGGCCGCGCGCGAGGCTCTCGTCAGGCCCGGGGTAGAAATGGAATACTGTGAAAACAGGAGCCCACGTAGAATGGGAAAAACATACAAAAGGGATTACAGTCGAGTATCAACCTAAAACACTCCGTTAGAAAATCTGCCCAGTGCTAAGTCTGTGACTGTGGGGAAAGTTAATTAATTTTCCTGCACCGTGGAGAAAACTGCTTAGAGTGCAAAATATTGCCCAGCCTCAGAAAAGGTCTCCTTTCAGCAAAAATGAGAATGAGCCAACTCCTCTTTCTGCCACCTGGACAGCTGCGGCTCTTTGGACCCTTGGTGTGAGATATTTGCCTTATTTTTGTCCCGTGTCACGTGGGAAGCCTGTGGCAGCAGGGCCAGGTAGGAAAAAGCAAAAGTTTGGTGAGAGGAGGAGGGCTGGACCTCCAGCACCATCCCACAGGTGATGGAGTGGGCAGAGAAGTGACTTCTTTGAATTTAGGGTTAGCTGCTGGGTGGTGATCCTCAAACCTCCGAGGTTAAAGGGAGCACTTTGATCATAAGACCGGGCAGCTGAGGGCTTGATTCAGGGTTTCTGCTACTCCTCTTCCTAAAACGTGGTTGAAAAAAAAAATTGTGGCGTTGGTCTCCTAGCAAACTCTGTCAATGCACTGTCTAAAAACTGCTTTGTTCTGTACCAGTTACGTGGGCCTGCATGGAGTGAGCTAGAAGAGCAAATCCACTGCTGTGCTGGCTAAAGAGCGCTTTCGCCAGCCTACGTTGGCCTTAAAAGAAATCCCTTCCCCTCTGCGTGTTTCTGCTAAAATGGTACCTGCAGTGATTTGCAGAGAATTTGAGAGCAAGGGCTGGGTGTTCATGGGATTTGTAGGGCTAACCTGAGATCTGGATGAGCATGGCAGCTAATGCAGGTTGTTTCAGAAGGGGTCCAAGCAGCCGCCAGCTAGAGCCATCTCTTTCGATAAGTTGGAAAAGGCTCTTATGCCAGTACAGCCGTCCAACAAGGATGCTAATGGCCTGCTTGTGCTGTTCAGTGCAGGGTGGCTGTACCTCCCAAGCTTGCTCGTTGCTGGCAGGGCTGAGTTTCCCTGGATTTGTGTGTGTATTGGTCCCATAGTGCCTGGCTGAGTGCGGATGTTGCCGGCGGTGTGATACGGACGCGCACCTGCATTCCTGTACCTTGCTCCCCTCCTCCCCTGTCCTCTTGCTGTTTCCCTGCTGCTTTGCTGACTTTCTGCCCCTTTTGGAGCATCTTGAATTAAATGGTTGTGGTCCCCAGCTCGGTCACTGCTGATCTGGGACATCTCCCTGTAAAAAGGGGAGTATTTTTTTGTTTTTGTTTTTGTTTTGTTTTTTTAATTGGTAATTTTAACTGAGATTTGAAAGGCAGGTTTTGTCCCTCACTGCACGTATGCGCAGCTCCTGACACAGCAGAGCTGTGATAAAGCCCATCTTGCAGGCACTACTCCGGTACGTGTCGTAGTCTCTGGCTACCGACCTGCGGTGCCTACTCAGGTTATTGGTGGGAACTTCTCAGGGCTGCTATGAAGTGTCCAAAAACGGGGAAGAAAAGCTCCAGGGGAGCAGTTGGGGCTCTCCCAGCGTCTTCCTCGGGGGCTGGGGGGGGGGGGAGGCGGGGTGGTGCAAGGCGGCCGCGGGGCTTCTCTGACCCATCGCTTTTCCCCGCCGGTGCCAGCCGCATCAACGAGAAGTCGGTGTGGTGCTGCGGCTGGCTGCCCTGCACACCGCTGCGCATCGCCGCCACCGCCGGCCACGGCCCCTGCGTCGACTTCCTCCTCCGCAAAGGGGCCGAGATCGACTTGGTGGACGTGAAAGGGCAGACCGCCCTCTACGTGGCCGTGGTCAACGGGCACCTGGAGTGTGCCAAGATCCTCCTGGAAGCCGGGGCTGACCCCAACGGCAGCCGGCACCACCGCAGCACCCCCGTCTACCACGCGGCGCGCGTGGGCCGGGCAGACATCCTGCGGGAGCTGATCAGGTGAGAGCTCGGGTGCAGGCTGGAGAGAGGGGTGGCTCTACCTCCCTCTCTCCTTCCCTCGGGGTCTTTTCCCCCATGGGCCTCAGAGCATCCGGTCCGTCCTCGCATGCCCGGTGCCTGGTGAAGCTGGCCAAGAGATGGACGGGAGAGAGGGTGGAGAGGTGTCCAAAGGGACATGCTTGTATTCCCTATCGCTTGGCCCCGACAACAGGTCTGTGCCCTGCTGCCTGGCTGCCATGCCTGTTCTCCTAAGGCAAAGCCCAAGAGATGAGTCTCTGTTTCTGAGCCCGCCATCCGCAATTCGGTCGGATCCAAATCTTAAAAAAGTATCTTCACCCCCACCTCTATATTGACTGCCAGCTCCATGCCCCCAGCTGAATTTACGAGCGAGGCGGATCCCTCAGCGAACCAAAAATTGTTTGGAAACACATCTCTCCTTTGCTTAGCTCTCCTGCTCCAGCCATTTTCTGTCCTTGGGAGGAGAGATGCTTGTCACCGGCACTGGCTGTTCTTGGCAGCCTGGTGTTTGCCCATCATGAGGACACCCTCCGTGGCATCTGATTCAGTTTCCCCTTGCCACACACCTGATGCACAGCTCTGTTTGAAGGGGTGGCACCTCTGGGGCAAGGAGCGACGGCCATCGCTATGAGGTGATGAACAGTAGCCTTAGCTGGGTGGTGGGTGACTGGTGACCTCCCATCCCTCAGGAAACTCCCTCTGCAGCACCAGCAGTGACTGGGCTCAGGGTCTAGCAGTAAGCTGTGTGAACTGGAGTTCTGTCCTCTGCAGTGTGTAGTGATACTTCCTTTCTTCTAAATTGGAAGCTTTTTGTACAAGGGGCCATGCTGAACAACTATATGGGCCCTTGGCACGAAATAATAAAAGATCATAAGGGGAAAATACAGGTTATAGAAAGAAATAGTAAAAGACAAGAACGTGTACTTGGATTCACCCAGAAATGCGTTCTGAGGAATCCCTTCAATGACCGCAAATGCTCGAACAACCAAAAGGATTTGATTAGAAAAATTTCAAAATACTTGGGGATTTTCTCCTTTCCTTTTTGCTTGTGGGGAAGTGAACTTCCATACGAGCGCAGCTTTAGGGAAGCTGGCAAGTAGAAAGAAGGGGAGACGGTCCCCCCTCCTTGCTCCTTTCTCAGCAAGCTGGGAGAAGGATGTCCCCATCGCCATGTGCTTGTTGGTACAGGGTCCAGCTCACATGCTGCATTCCCGAGGCTGTCCCCTGATACATCCACTAATGCAGGGTGAAATGTAGCAAATGGCATTTCAGCAGCACATGGAGAGCTGATGCATTGATTTATGTGTCGTCTACTCAGGATACCTTGCCAGCAATATTAAAAGCAAGATTTTGGAAAACTTTCAGGATTAAAAATTAACTGGAGTTTGTCCAATATCTTTTTTATTAGACAATGTCTCTCCCAAGGCTGCTAAGCTAATACCAAATTGTCAGATTGCCCAAAATTTCAAATATCTTGGAGTACAGATTTCACAGATCTGTTTGGAGTTGCTGACTTTAAAATGCGGTCTTATGTTACAGAGCTCACTCGGAGATTTTTAAAACGTTGATCTAAAGGATTTGCCAGGGGGAATGCAAGGAGGAAGATACTTTTACTGAGATATAAGGAAATATTTCAGCATATTCACCTGGAGAGAGCCTCAATGTCCTGAAGAGAAAGCCCAACCCGGTCAGGCTTGCTGCAGGTGTCTAAACATCACCTGGTTCATATTTTTTTAAATCATACGGTAGCACGGTCAAGATTCCTGAATGCTACTACGAGTGCTGAACCAGCTAGCCAAGGAATAGATGAAACTGTATCCATTAATAGTAAATACACACAGCTATGGAGCGGTGATCCATTTTGTAAGACAGCTGGCGGAAATATGTATTGTTACATTGCCAAGGTGTAGATTACTTTTCCTAACAGCCTGTGATGCGATCATGTTGCGATGGGATCAGACTGCTGCACTGTACTTGCAGCGTAACTGGGGGCTGAGCCAGCCTCTTAAGGATGAGAGGATCCTTTTGCCACACTAAAACAGTGAAAAAGAGATCTGACACAGCACCCCAGTGCCTCAGGTGCATGCCTGACTGTGATAAAAGTAGAATTTTGTGGTTTGTTTTGAATTGAGGGTTTCCACTGAGAATTTTGATGACAATTATGGAAAAAAAAAAAGGACTGAAATGAAGGGATACCTGCTGTCTGGTCAGGACCGTGGCCATAGGAAGCAGTGGCCCTACAAAAGTCCCACAGCAGCACGGATGACTTTTTCTAAATGCTCGTGTAGTCTCATTTTAAGAGGTTTATCTACAGGGAACGTGTGTGATTGCTTGTGGAGGACGGATGCCTTTTCTTATTTAGTCCTCTGTGCATTGCACAGTGCCTCGTAGCACTGTGAAGCGCTGCAGATTCAGCAAAATGCTGTGGAAGTCCCCAAAAGATGGGAATGTCCCCTTAGTGCGCAGTGATCCCCGGGCCAACCACCTGGCCTGGGAAGTGAAGCTCGGTCCCGCACCTGGTGCGAGGACCAGCTCGCACTCAGCAGTGTTGTTACTCCTCAGCTTTGTCCTTCTCCTGCGTTTTTCCAGCCCACTGGTCTCTTGAGATCTCAGCCAAAGTGTTCATGCTTGGGAGATCTTGTGCGTTGGGTTAAAAATACACTGCACGCCGTTTTCAGCTCTTAGACAAGTTTCCTCGGCCCATATTCTGTGTGTGCTTCATGAGCCTATTCCCACCTTCAGAATTGAAGCATTTGGTTCAGTATTTGCTGGATGGGGACCAGCCCCTACTGGGTTCAGCTAGAGCAGTGCTTGCCTTGAGGCAGGATTTGTCCCCAGGTGATTTCCTTATTTGTTTTATTAACTGCAGAATGGAATATAATGCTGTTTAGGAAGACAGAAAAACCTAGTTCTCTGAACGCTTAGTTTGCAGTGTTGGGAGAGGGACTGGCAGGTGAAGGGACCTCTTGTCCCTCTGTGTGGAGAAGGGACAGGGCTTTGCTTGATCTGCAGCGCTGCGATTAAAACCAGCTACTCCTTAGGGGATTGTGTTGTCTTCCTCCTTCTTCCCATCCAAGCTGCATGTGAAGTGGATGGATGGGGTTAGTGTCCCCGCTGCTTGGGCGTTACCCAGCCTGAGGGAAATAAACGCTTATTTCTGCCATCTCTTCTTTCCGCAGCACTGCCATTTTTCAAATTTTGTGCTTTTCCAGAGCGCGACGCTTGGCCTTTTTGCTCCCGTTTATTTGGCTGCATTCTTCCCTTCCTACAGAAAAATTAAAAAAAAACCAAAACAAACCAAAGTCAATAAGCCCTGTTTTCTGCTCGTTCACAACTTAGTGCCATCTGTACTTACCAAAAAGAAGTATGCTGCGGGCTCTGCTTCTGTTCCATGACGATGCTGGTGGCCATTGAGCAGGGCTTTAGCCTGCTTGCATGCCTTCTCTGCGCCGCAGCAAGCCCCAGCCCGCTTTGCTCTGGCTGCAGGGCTTAGGGAGCAGTTGGGACACCGGGGCACCGTGTGGCGAAGAGGAGAGGTAGGGGTTTCTCCGTGGGGTAGGGTGAGGCAGGAGCCCCTTGCAAAAGGCTGGAGAGGTTTGCTGCTGCAGCTCCCAGAGCTCTCCCCTTCAGAGCCTGGAGTGCTGGCCGGTGAACTGGAATCTCTCCTGCGGTAGCTAGTGGAACATACAACCTGTGAACAGAGCTGTGCAGGAGGGACGGGGAGAGCGGGAGGTTCTGACACAGTTATTTTGTGCTTTTCCAGTTTCTTGCATGCTCAGAGTTGGCAGGTACATCCCTTCAGCAGAGCTGAATGCTAGGGAAAAGGTCTCTTTTTGACTCCCTGGCGGGATCTCTGATGGGATTCCAACCACCCCAGCTCCTTCGGGAGCAGGATTTTGTCATATATGTTTTGCTGTTGAGCTCAGATGTCTGTTTCCATTTCCCCGCTGTTTGTGACAGTCAGATCGATTGCCTGTATTGCTTTTTGGCCCGTTTTATCTTGGTGGGGAAGTTATTTCACTGCATCTCTTCAACTGAGTCATTTGGAAACATCCCTGTTCCTCAGCCGTCTCATTAGCATCCATTGTTCCGTGGTGCTGGCTCAGGGCTGACCTGTCCCTTGTGCCAAGGCCATGCTTGGCACATCCTTCAGGAGGGCCGGGAGGGATGTTCCTCAGCTGCTTCTCCTCTCTCCGAAGCCCGGGCTGTTGCGGGCAGAGAAACAGCTTTGCTTCTTGAAGATCAGACCATGCTGGATACAACGTCCCCACTCAGAAGCGCCCCCAGGCTCATCTGAGGGTAGGTATGGGTGGTTCTTGGGTGGCTGGGCCTCAGAAGTACCAAAGACAGGCAGGGTGCTAGCCCTCTGGGTGTCCTTCAGCCTCGTCCCCCTGCCATTTTGTCACCCGGGGCTGCAGCCATGGTGCTGTAGCCCTTGTTTCCAAACCTCTGCTCTTCCCTCTCTGCCCTCCCCCCCACCTTCCAGGTACGGCGCGGACGTGGATGTGAATCACCACCTTGCTTCCCGGGTGCCCAGCCTCTCCCTGCGGCCCCTCACCACGCTGGTGGTCTGCCCGCTGTACATCAGCGCTGCCTACCACAACCTCCAGTGCTTTCGGCTGCTGCTCCAGGCTGGAGCCAACCCGGATTTTAACTGCTGTGGGCCCATCAACATCCAGGGCTTCTCCCGGGGCTCCCCGGTGTGTGTGATGGACGCTGTCCTGCGGCATGGCTGCGAAGCAGCTTTCGTCCACCTCTTGATTGACTTTGGAGCCGATCTCAACCTGGTGAAAGTGGAGACCTTGGGAGTTGAATCCACGGGAAGGGTCAAAGTGAACCCTGAGGCTTTGCAGGTGTTCAAAGAAGCAAGGGGTGAGTGCCTTTGACTTACTGCAGTGGCGCTGGCTTTATCTAGCTCTGGATTCAGGAGAACTCTTTGGAAAGTGTCTTTGGCAGTTAGGAGATGTTAAGGTGGTAGGGTGGGTGTTTCTATCCTCTTTTGGGTCTGTTTGTTCAAGTGACTTCAGCCAAGCGGAAAAAAGATCCTGTAAACAGGTTATACCTCTTAAAAGTGTAAATCAATTCTAACACACACAAAAAGATAACTGGGGTTTAACAAGCTGTTAAGCTAAGCGTTAATGACTTCACCACCCCTGATAGGGCTCCCAAAGAGCTGTGGCTGGCCAGGCAGGCAGCAGTCAGGAGAGGACGGTGGGGCACGGATCTGCAGTGTTGCCCAGCTGCTGCCTGCCTCGGGCTCTGACAACACTGGTGACTCAACCCGGTGGCTAGACTCCCTGTTTTTTCCTCCAGCTAGACTCCTTGTTTTTCTCCTGTTGCATTTTGTACATTCACGTGGTGTTTTCCCTCTTGAGTCCTTCCGGTATCAGCGATACCTCTCTCAGCAACCCAACCTCCATCTGTAACTTCACCTTTTTTATGTTTCTCCCAGCTCTTTTTGATTGCCTAACTGTGTCTGCAGCATCCTGAGGCAAGATTTAGGCAGTGGGGTCCTAGCAGAGCTGGGCTTTGGGTCTGCAAGTCACTGGTGAGGTTATAACTTACCCAGTGAGACCCAGTTCTCCAAAGCCATGCAGAGGTGCCCTCACTGTTCTTGAGTGAGCCTGTGCTCTGCAGGGCGGCCCAGGGAGGGACCCAAGAGGTAGCTGTATCTGGACAGGCTACTTGGGAAGTAAAGTCACAAATGGTGGTGACTAGTGGCGGGAGGGAGCTCAGCTGGTGGTGGAAAAAGGTGGGGAAAAGCTGGCTTTTTGACTTCAACATCCTCTGGGAGGCAGATGAGTTACAAAAGAAGTAAACCAGAGCCTCAGACCTGAACATGCCTAAGTTTACCTGCTATTTCTTTCTTTTTATAACAAAAGCAACATGGATACAGTGTGCACCCTTGTTCCAGCAAGGGCAGCACCTCGTAAAATCCCCAGGCTCAGCTGGTGAAGGGCAGGGTTTTGCACCAGGGTTGGAAGTGGGTTTCCCTCTTGAACTCGCAGAGAAATTTGAAAGGGATTCAGGATGTGGGATACAGCCCCTGGCCCCCACCCTGAAGTTATTCAGCTTTGCATGTGCCTGGTTTTTAAACCTGCCTGGACTTTTGTTGAGAAGAGATGCGTGTAAGCTGGAGCAGGTGGTTTCCGTTAAGCCTGGGCTTAGGAGACAAATGGGACTCCTCAGGTAGAGCGTGCAGGACAGTGGAGTGGTGCCTTGGAAGTCCAGTTCCTGAATCAACATGGACACCACCATCCTCTTGTCTCTGTGCTGGAAGAGCTCTCCGTGAACTCAAAAGAAGCCCTCACAAGAAAGTTGGGTTAAGGCCTGAGCTGGCTGTCAATGCTCTTGATTCCCAGGGGGTGAATTAGAGCAAAAATAAAGTCCACATGATTTTAAAATGATCCGAATAGTATAAAGCCTCTCGCAGCCTCCCCTGGCGTGGATTTGGCAGTGATCTCTTGAACCCCTCTCATGCAGGGACTGGCTTCGTGGTCACAACCCCGTGCAGTCTCCAGCAGCTTGGCCCTCCAAGCTGCCCGTGTGGCAGCTGTCGTTGCTCCAGATCTTTGGCCGAAAGGTTTGGCCTCCTCACGGAGAGGATTTGTGCATGCTCAGCTCTCCTGCACTGCCTTCGTGTTGCTGTGCAGGTCGTGGCCTTGGCGTTTGGAAGGGGTAAATGGCTCCTCAGCTGTCAGCCAGAGCTCAGCACAATTTACACACTGTTATCCCCCCCCCTCTTCCTCTCTCTGTCCCTCAATAGGTTTTTCTCTGCTTTCTTCATTGCAGGCCGCACCCGGAGCCTCTTGTCTCTCTGCCGCATAGCTGTGCGAAGAATACTTGGCAAATCTCGTCTGGATCTGATCCACGTCCTTCCAGTCCCAGACCCCATTAAACAATTTTTACTTCACGAACACAGTTAAAGGGCAACTGGCTGCTTTCCGAGACAGTTTGATTTGGTAAATGAGTGCGCTGTTAAAGCCAGGTGCCAATCCTAACCCTTCCCCAACAGTGAAATACTGTATTGCTCATGGAGTGCACATAATTCCCTGCCCCTGTGATTTTCCCCCCCAAATTTAGGGTGCAGTGATTCTGTGTGTCAGTTCTTAAGCTACCGGCTGCCTGACTGGTGATCTCTTGTTTGCAACTGGTTGGGCGATGAGACCGATAAGCGTGTGCGGCTGTTACATGAGCAAATACAATATATCCTATAGCTGTTAGCATATGTCTGTTTGTTATGACTCTACCTCTGTTATTGATCTGTGTTACACACACCTTGGGTCTCAGCGGAACTTCTGTGTGGGGAAAGTGTCCGTACTTAAGCTTTTCCTTGTCCTGTAGGGTGCAAGGGAGTCTCTCCTCGCCTTGGTAAGGGTTTTACAACAACAGCGCTGTTTTCTTTCTGCTGTCAGTACCTGGCCTTTCTCTTCCTTACGAAGTTCGTGATTGCTGCTGTAAAAGTGGGTGTGTTTTCTTCTGTCCTCTTCTGGTGTGAAATGCACCGAGTTTCTTGTCCAGTGCTGTGCGTTACTTGGAAAATTGTATCCGTGTCTCTACGTGCTGCAAGGTAGCTGCTGACTTGGCTTTCTCCGTGTAGAGGCCCCATCGCACAGATGGGAGAGTAGCAGAATATGTAATTCTATCCTGTCTGAGTCATTTCTGCAGAGCACCAGATCTGTGGCAGCTTGGCTCTCCCTCCAGCACTGTAATGGACGAGGCAGGGGCTGGCCGCTCCTCCTCCCGACTGCCTGGGACCGGGTCAAGTCTCGTGAGCGCTGCCGTAGCACGAAGGAGAAAACCTGGAGAGAAGAGGAAAAGGTAGCTCCACCTCTGGGAACTGATAGCTACGCAGCCTGTTGGGGGGGACTGTGATCCTGATGGTTCCGTCGCCACCGCAGTGGTGGTGCGACAAGGACGACTGTGATACTCAGGTGAAGCCAGCACGTGAACCTGAAAGATTTCTAGGGTACTTTTTGGAAAAGCGATGGCTAAATGCATCTTCTCTTCCCTGTAAAATGGTTTTGAATATTTGAGAGTGATCAGGAGCAACAATGGAGGGGTTGCTGAATTAAACTGCTGTGTTGCTGTGCCGGATTTGCACATTGATGCAATGCCTGTGAGTAGATCTGTGTGGTAATGAAGGAAAAGACACCAAAATGGTCTCTAGACTGCGTGCTTGCAATATTGCAGTGATTATGATGTTACTGGAAGCCCAGTAAAGTAGCAGACAACGCACAGTGCACAGAGATAGAAGTTCCTACCTACCTTTTACTCCATATCCCTCAGTGCCAGTATAACCAGAGAAAACCCTCCCAGACCCACTTAACGGGTCTTTTTGTTTGCATAGTGCTTCTACCAGCATTGTGGAGAAGGGAGAAGAAAGGACTTTTTGTGTTTTCTTGAAGAGTCGGGAGATAATGTGCTTCTAAATGCAGTGTTGCATCCACCAGCCTGAGCTCCTTTGATTTCCAGTGCCTCTATGTTGCCGTTTACCTTCATGTCACAAGCTCACAGAAGAGTGTCATTCTGCAGTTTCATTGGGATCTCAGGGTCAGCCAGCTCCTTAAAGGTAGTGACATAGTCATTGTATAGGAAACACTGTCAAAACAGCAACTTTAGAAGGACAGAGGTGACGATCCCTCAGGATCTTGGGTAAAAACTCAGATGGTAACTGGCACTTGCTTTTACTTTACTGATTCAAGTTCTTCCTAGTCCCCGTGTTCTAAGTCGATTTTTTGGACAATTTGTCTTTGCCAGATGTTCTTCCCATGCTCATGCAGTTAACAAGGGTATTTTTTTCCAGATGTGATCCTAAAGATGTTGGGGATTTATGTATTGTATGGTATTAGTGCCTAGGGACCTGTTGTTGAGAGCTGAGTTAAGCATGGGATGGCAAGGACAGTAAGACAGTCCCTCCTGGGAATGGGATCTAGCTCTGGTCGCTCTTCTCGTTGACGGGGAAGTGGGGTTGTTTAAGCTACCCTGCATTTCAGTTTTGAGTGCCTTTGGCCGACAGCCCTGGCTATCCTGCCACTATAGGAGCAGATCCTCAAGGCTGCCCCGTAGACTTGCCCCGTAGGTCTTGACACTAGTTACAAAATCTTCTTTTTCCAGAGGCATAAACGAATGAAAAACCGCAGTTCAGTTTCTGGTCCTCCCGTTATGGGATGTGTTTAGGGTGGAGTTCGATAAGCAACAGTGGACTTGCTTGTGTGCTTTGTTATCTGCTGAAGAACACGTGCCTTTCCAAGATGCTTTCAGGGAAGGAGGAAGGGCAGGAAAAAACGCAGTTCCTGATTGTTTCCTGCTATTTCAGCTCCATGGCTGTGCCTGGAAGGTCCAGCTGGCCCCTTACATTGCTCTACTCACTGATTTTAGGATAAGGTGGCAAAATTTGCACTGCTGACAACAGGCTAAAGTGTGGTGGTTATACTCAGTGCTCAGATACCAAAGCAAAGGATACTTTCAAAACCCTCATCAGGTGAGATCAAATGGCAAGGATACGTAGCTGTAGGCGTGTTTTCAAGGTGAGAAGGCAGCAGTTTTGCACTGTTTCCTTTTCAAGCTTGCAGATGGTTTAGGTTTTCACTGTGCTGGAGGCCAGGGCAGCCCATGAGCATGTTGCCTGAGAGTTGTGCGCTTGCTTTATAGAAGTGTTAACATGCCTGAAAGATGCAAACAGGTTGTAAAGCCTCTTGTCACCTTGCTGGTGGAACCATAATGTTTTGCAGGAGCACGGGCCGAACATACACTCTAGCTCCAGTGTGTAGAGGCAGAAAACGAGGTAGGTTGTCTTGAGAAAATGCCATGGCAACAGCTTCTTCGGGTCGACTTTTTTTCCTCTTGGTTTTTACTTGTTCATACAGTTTTGCAAATCGGTCACCCGTTGGTGCCTTTTGGGCGAAGGTGGTAGGATGGATGGGGAGGGCACATGCTCATCTGGGGAGGGCTGGCTCCACCTGGGATGAGCTACAGTGAAGTGCCACAGTGTGAATGATGGAGGGTGGCCCCAGGAAATTCAGAGAATTTAGTCGTTAACTCGGTGTCCGATGTAACTCGAGTGGATAGTTAAAGCTAAGCCTCTGCAGATGACCCGTTGCGGTTTTAATTAGAGATGCTTCTGTATTTGGTTTGTTGACTGGTGTGCCCTTGCCTGAGACTGTCCTACAGCGTGCTTCTGGATAGCCAGCAGTGGCACCCTGACCAGCCTAGCAGCTCTGCTCCCTCCCAGCACCCTAACTCCCTCCCATGCGAGTGAAACTGCAAAGAACACCCTCTTCCCATGTCAGTACCTGGTACTGATACAAATCCTTTGCAGGTCCCACTGGTGAGCTCAAGCCATGCTGGGAGTGGGGACTTTGGCTTCTGTGTGTATGGGTAGGGAAGGACTGTGTGAGTTTTCAAATCCAACCAATGTGGAGTCCAAAGGATTCCCCTGACCATGGATATCTGCAGCCCCCGACCCACCTGTCAAAGGATGGTTCTCCCAAGCCAATAGCAAACGAGCTTGAAGTTCATCAGTCACTCGGACATTTGCAGAACCAAAGCTTCAACGTGCAGGAGGGATTTTGCCTGGATTACCCCTCCAACTTCCATCTTAACTGAGGGACTGTGCCTCCTGCAAAGGTCTCAGTGTTAAACCTGAGTGCTCTTTCTTTTGGCTTGAGGGCTGGAAGGGAGTCAGGGGGACAACTCACATAATATTAAGCTGTAAGCGCAGAGAGAACCGTTAGATTAAGTCCCTGTGTACATTGATTGCTGAGTCTACATAAACCTGGCTTTGCATAAGTGAAGTGGTTTAATACGCAGACTTAGAAGATCTGGAATTTTCATTGTAGAGGGATAATAATGAATCTCAAAATAGATTCATGGTATCCATAGACCTTGGTGTCCTGTCCTGTAGGGCCAGAACCTATATCCCCTGGCTGTCCCTGTCCTTTTTAAACCCCAGAAACAATGGTCTTCCAATATGAAATCCCAGTAATACATGCATATTCTATATCTTCACACTATATAAACAGCATTTATTTTTTGCCTTAACTCTGACTTCACCATTTTCTCCTATGTAGCAGAACATTCTCTTTTGTAAATGTATTCTTTTCTATGTTGTTTCTGGGGCATGCTCAGATAACATGAGTAACAAATGAGTACTGTGAAATCATGGGTGGGAAATTAAACTTTTCTGCAGTATATATCCCCTATATCGAAGGATGCCTATTATATTTGTAAATAATATATAAAGCGTATGTTGTGTGGCCTTGCTGTAAACTTGGGTGGGGTAACAAGATTTGGAAAACAGTTAAAGAACCAAAACAGACCTGGAATAAGCAAAGCAGATCCAAAGCAGTCTTTTTCATGTAGGCTTTCTTCTTGTCTTTGCTGCTATGGGGGGATTTCCAGAGCATGAAATCCTGGTAGCTGCTACCCAAATATAATTTCCTGCTTTTGGGGAGTTTTGCAAAAAGCAGAGGAGCAGCATCTGGTGGGTTGAAGTGGTGGTGTTTTTTTTTTGGTTTTTTTTTTTTTTTTTTTTTTTTTTTTGTTTTGTTTTGTTTTGTTTTTTTTGTTGTTGGTTGGTTGTTTTTTTTTCTTCCCCATCCCCCAAAAATCAAGCAAAGCACTTTTTATACCAAAACGAGCCTTTGAGGGACAGCAGCTTTTTAACCCTTTCCCGTTCCAGTGAAGAAAGCAGCGTAAAGAACCTACCCAGGACAGAACAGAGGTGACGGAGTCCCACCTCAAGAGGTGCTAATCAGTGCTCTGTTTTTTTTTTTTTTTTTGCCCAGGGTAAAATGAGTGTGTGTAGCAGCAAGATTAGATCGGAGAGCGGGAGGGAGGTACCTGTGGTGGGCCTGGATCCGTGCGCAGCAGAATAAAGATGTACCGTGGTACAAGAGCGTGGCTGTCTGCCTAATGATTTGCTTCGCCCGTGGGAAGGAGTCCGGGCTCTGTGCTGCAAGGAGCAGGGGCTGGATTTGGGAAAGCCGGAGGAGTCGTGGCCTGGGAGGCTGTGGCTGGCTCCTCTGCCTGGTTCGTAGCCGCTGGAGGGGGCCGGAGAACCGCGCTGCCTGCAAGGGGGTTACGGGCAGGGACTGCCCACTGGTTTCCTACACCGATGCCAACTCCTGCCTTGCCACCCCGGGGCAATTTTCAGGAGGGGGTAGGGCAGGTAATACGTAAACAGTGGGGAATGTGCAGAGAAAGCTTTCCTCTGGAGCCTCTCCCCCCCGCCTCAGATCCTCTTCCATAAGCCGGCGTGTCCCTCCGTGCGAGGTGGCTGCTGTCACCCCAGCTCTTGGCTTCCCACCCCGTCCTGCAAAACAGGCTGCAGACCTCTCGTTTCTGCTCCTGCTTTCTTTGTACCCAGCTCCTCGGTTTGTCCTGGCATCAGAGTACTCAGAAGTCAGTGTGATTCCTCAGAATATTTTGAGTCTTATACTGTAGCTTTTCCCAGCATTTTAATTGGAAAACTCCCTACGAGCTTAAGCTGCAAGCATTTCTGGTGGTTGCTCTTTTCTTCCTAGGGGTTAGCAGATGTGCAGGCTCCGTCTGCAACACCCAGACAAATTTGTGTTCTTTAGCTCAGGTGGTAGACCGGGCATTTTGGGTACCTGAGGATTTAGTCCCTGTAGCTATCTCCAGTCAAGAGCGCAGTTCCTTTTTTAGGATTCCTGCTATTTTCACACGGGAGATGTTTGTCTGAGCTGGTGCCAGCATTTCCTCTAAAGGCAAAATGAGTTTCTCCTAAATTGGAAGAAAACGATCGAGTGATTTGGAATCACGGTGATTAAAAACAAAGAAAAACAAGCCCTAATCTGAAATTCTAACGTCTCCAGCCTCGATATTCCTCTAGCTCAGTGGCTCCCTCCTGCCTCCCAGCGTGTCTCCCCCCAGACTTGTGTGGTAGCCACCCCAATGTGGTACCCACGACCTTGCTGGACGGTGGGTCCAGCGGCAGCATCTTTGTGCTGCAGCTTGGAAAGAACAGATTTCTCATCAGCTGGGTGAGATCCATGTGTCTGAGCTGCAAAGATTGGGAAAATTAAATGCGGAATTGTTTAAAGAGCTGCTAGGCCGCAGCCGTGATTTTGCATGCCGTGTTAGCCTGTCCCCTCTCCCTTGTCTTTCTGGAGTGGACAGGCTGGGGTTTCTGGTCACCTCACTGAATTTCATGTGTGGCTGGGGAGAAGAGCTCACGGGTGAGTCTGTCCTTGGTTTATATAATGGCATTGCAACATTTTCCTTATTACTCACACTCGTTAATCTTGCTTTAAGATCTAATGCGGAGTTCCCTTTCCTGCAGCAGCAAGGAAGAAAAAAAGGTTTTGCCATGCACCCTGTGATGCTCAAATATTTGCTCTGGGCTATGAGAACCAACCAAGACTGCAGTAAATCTACGGCAGTCTCGAAGAATTTCCTCTAGCATGCATTACTTCCACTCCCCCAGCCGCTGCTGGGGAAGCCTCTACTTGTTAAACTTTTTTTTTTTCTTTTTTTTTTTTCTTTTTTTTTATTTTGTTCCCTATCAGCTCCTTCGGGCTTGTCTTCCCTCCCAAATGAGCTCTCTGTCCCATGCAAATTGCAACCTGCAAGAAAACGTAGGAGGTCCGCGGCTCACCTGCGGTGTGCCCAGCAGATGGGGCAGCTCACGCTGGCTGCCCGGCTCCTGTGCCCATGCCAGCCCTGCGTGGGGGAAAGGAGCCTCCAGCCCCCGAGGAGCCCCTAATTGCCCTGCGGAGCTCATTAACCCGTCTCCAGGTACACGCATTTCCTGCTGCTTTCAGCACTTTCCCCCCCACCCCGAGCCTGATTTGTACTGTTCTGTTTTGCACTTTTTTTCCTCCCCCCCCCCCCCCCCCCCCCCCTTGTTTATGCTTCAGAGACAAATGAAATCTGCTTTTGTTTACTGGAAAGTATGCTTTATTTTCCCATCATCGAGCATCTGGTGTTTGTAAAATGCACAACAAATCTTTCCAACAGAAAATCAGCCAGCCTGAGTGTGCCTGGCCAGGAGTTCACGTGTGGCACGATCCTTATCCTAAAAAGGTACTAAAACATCCAAACCCAGAAAGCGACGGCCGAACACGTTGCAAGTGGGTGAAAAGCTACAGGAAAAACACTGAAAATGCACATTTCCCATCAAATGTATGGCTAGCAAAGGCTGTGAGTTACTGCAAGGTTCAGGTAAGCCTTTGCCGAAAAGCAAGAAGGGAGCGGTGGCAGGCGTAAGTACCTGTGAGCCCCAGGAACAAGCATCTCCAAATGTTCTCATGGGACCCTTCTGTCACTAGGAAGTCAGAGAGAAAAATAAAGCTAAGATGGATAAGATGGAGTAAGACAACCTTTGCTGATTAATGGCTTCGGCCGTCCCCCCGAAGGTAGCGGGATGATGTATGGTCTGTACACAGTCCACTCCCCGTGGCACATGCTTTCTGTGAGCTTTCCAAACATACCAGGGTGAGGTGATGCTTGCAGACACAGCATTTTCTCCGATGGCGTCTTTCCACAATCATCTGAAAGCTGCTCAGGGAATTTTGGAAGTTGGTTTCCAGCCACGATTCGCTTGGCCAACTCTGCACTTGCCTTTAATTTTAATAATTTGGCGACATCCATTTATTTAACATTTTGCAAAGCTGGGTCTGTGTTTGCTCAGAGAAAATGAGAGTTGAAGGATGGTAAAATGCCTTCATAAATTGGAAGTTAAATTAAGAAATCCCTTGAAAAGCACCGAGCGCTGTTAGCTCCGTGGAGTGGTGTCACACTTACGGCATTGTGAGCTGTGGTACCGGTTAGAGGCACGGAAGGTTACGGAGGCACGGGGAGTGGGGTGGAGTGTTTTGTGGGTGTTTCTGGCCTTTCTGAGCCCGCTTTTGTTTGCAGCCGGGGTGTAATAACAGATTCATCCCTTGTTTCATTTCCCACAAAACACAGTTTTCACCAACAAGTCTTAATTTTGGAAAATTTCATCAGTTAAGCATTTCGTATCAGTATGCAAGCAGCTTCTGGAAGTTTTCTCTAATATTTGATCATATCCATGTTATTCCATGAGATTGTCTGTCGTGGAGAGCTTCGTGATGCAATAGATGCAATTTTAATTTAGTTTTTTATCTTGTATTTTCAAATTACTAAGGGTAGCTGCAGCTTGGTCTCATACATCTACGCTAGCAGCAGCTGGGAAATACATCAGTTCAGTTTGTTTCAATTATAATTTTTTATAAATGAGGCTCCTTTTGCTTTGTTCCCCATTGTCCTGGGACGAGGTTAAAGACCGGGTGCTGTAGCGGATACCAAGCACGTTTTCAGGGGTTGGTTGGACACCACCGAGATTCACGGATAGACGCTCTGAAGAGCAGACCAGGGCACATCAGCACGGTGCCGTCTTGCACACGGGTGAGCGATGGAGCCTCGGTGATGTGCTGGTGGCTGGTGGCATCTCTGAGCGGCACGTCATTGCCGAGCAGCGCCGGGTGGGACAAAGCTGCTGGGCCACGGAGAGCCTTGGGATGCTGCAGTCTGTGTAACGGCAATCCTCCTCGCATCTCACCACCACGCTAGCGCTCGGGAGCACACCTCCAGATACTTCTTGTCGAGCTGGAGAGGAATTTTGCTTTGTAACGAATGTGTTACAAGACTTTCTGTTGTTTAAAGGCGTTCAAGTCCTTACCTTCATCAAAGCAACCAGTAAAGCCTCCTATAAATACTACCTAGGAAAGCAGAAGTTTCCGATTAGCCTAGCTCCCCGCCTAATATCACTTTTTATAATTACCAACCCCCACTAGTGCAAACTTTCTTAAAGGCAGAGGATCTAAACAGAGGTTGTTCTTGCCTCGGTTGGCAACCGCCACCAGTCTGGAGGTGGGTCACCTTGCACCTGATGGACTTGGCAGTGTTAGGTGTGCGATTGGACTCAATGATCTTAGAGGTCTTTTCCAACCTAAATTATTCTATGGTTCTATCTGCGCCTTCACACGTGCCAGCTGCAGCATCTCTGTGGCCTCCGGGCCACAGTACCACAGTGTTCTGTCCGAATCACCCATCATTCCAACAGAACTGTAGCCTAAAGGCCATCTGTGAAATCTGAAAGTTGAGAATTATTTTTATCTCCGTAGCTTGAGACAGTGTCTGGTCCCTCTTGCTGGGAGTTGTTCTTGCTGGGTGTTCAGTGGACTTTGGGTTTAGTCCATGAACTTTCAGTTTAGTGATAACCCTAAATATCTCACGCGTCATAGACTATGAACGATGCAAAGATGTCGGCAAAACCCGTTGTGCCAATGCAAACAACGCTAGGAGGTTTTACTGTTCCCATTGCTGGTGCATGAACCTTGTTCCTCTTCACTCTGTCTATGTGTCCGTTCATCGAGAAAGGCCAGAAGGAATGAGGTGCAGGTAAATATGAATCCCATAAGACTGTGCTATCCGAAGACAAAAAATAGGACAGTTAAACGTTCTATGTGCGTTCGGACTTCCGTAACACTGAAAGGATCTCTTTGCTGGTTGAACTGCTGTGGGTTTGTGTTTGCTCTTCCACAGAGAGCATTTTAAATGCCACAGAAACATGGAGAATATGCATCCTCCCACTCCAAAACAGCACAAAATTCACGGGGCAGCCTTGGCTAGACGTACTTCCACGTGGTGTCCAACGGGAATATGGACACCGCCACCCTGCTTTTCCGAAGAAATGATTTAATTGGTGATGCATTCGTTTCCAAGGTCAGTGAAAATGGTAAACGCACGCTGGCAAACGGGACGTCAATGGGTGTCCGCTGTGAATTTGGCTCTTCTGATGTTCTTTTTCTCTGGTATGAAAAATGATTCACCCGGCTTTGAAGTACCCGATCTTGTTAGCATGGGTCAGATGTTTAAACATAACTAAGGATATTATATGGGCTGATTAAA